GGGCGTCCCGGGGCTCGAAATTCGCAGGGTAGGAGGGGGTAGTGACGCTGCGTGTAACCAAAATAGGTGCCATTGTCCGGTGAGGTCCGGTTGGGGAGTTACGGAACAATCTCATAACGCATAATCTTATTAACTGTTTATCTCCTGAACTGCAACTTTCTTTACCACGCAGCGCCAATCCCGCCGTGCAGTCAATTTCGCTGGTTAAGGTTAGGGTCAGGTGTGGGGTAGGTTTAAGGGTTAGCATTTTTTGTAGCATAGTGTAGGAAATCAACACTTTAATTGACACAACCAATAACATCTTTAGAATCAGCTGTGGGGCGGAGTTTGCACTGAAGTGGATTGGGGGAAAAAATTGCGCATGCGTGTCATGTGCCTGTCTGTCAATGGGAGGAAGCCACGCCCTATTTTGGAGCTCCCACCCTGTTTTGGAATTCCCGCCCCCATTTGGAGATCTCCAGGCTGCACCCTTCTCCCTGAAAGACTATATCATCATTATTTCTTAAAGGAATAGTTCACCCAAAAATTTGCACCCTCAGTTCATTCAAAATGTATGAGTTTATGTCTTCATCAGAACATATTTGGAGAAATTTAGCATTACATCACTTGCTCATCAATGGACCCTCTGCAGCGAATGGGTGCCGTCAAAATGAGAGTTCAAACTTAATTTTTTTTAGCATTGCAAGCAGCCTAGTAAAATGTGTGCAACACAACAACTTATCCTGGACTAAGATGGAAAGAAGATAATACAAATTTGTAGGGATCGGTGACTGAAATGTCCAAAATGTTTGTCAGCTTTCCTTAATACCTCATAATCCTTAATACATGTAAATTGTATAAATAAATGTATAGTCAGTAACTATACATTTAGTATAGTGTTCACTTTAAACTATATTTACTGTATTTTTACTGTTCATTTGATATGAATTACACTGTATAACAATAACAGTAAGATCCTACCATGTACATAGAATCTAAAAAGGCGCGCCTGTTCCTTTAACTCATCTATGGGCGTGGCTAGCTGTCAGCACGCATTTGATTGACAGGAGAATGCAGGAGAGAAACTTGACCCGCGCAGCCTGTAGTATCCACGCTGTATCTCAGTCTCGTGTCACACCCCCAGTCTGTGACTGTGAGCACATAAAGCTGCGTTACATCATTTGACTTGAATAGTTCACCGTATTCACGGGTGAACATACAGTTGGGTTACGACTTAATACGACACGTTTGTCATTTGGAATTAAAATACGTTTTGAATGCGGATACTTCAGGTGAAACCGACTGGATATTGCCGCCTTCTCCGTCAGAATGATTTAAATAGCTACTTTAAGTATAAAACGAAAGCTTTTTTCTTTTAAAACGAAAGGAACCCATTTCAGTCACCTGTAACATTTGACAGTAGATGAATCCTCTCACCCTGGACTAAATCGAATTATTGGTAAGTGTTTTTTTTTTAAAAGAATATTGAATAGAATAGAATGGAATAAAAGAGGATAGATTTTTTTATGTACTCTGGGAATTAGTTACTTCAAAATAGTAGCTTTGAGACGGTATCATTTTGTTTAATTCATGTTTTTGGTCACACTGGTTTCTGATGCCAAGTTACTCATGTTTTAACAATAACTAGCAAAAATTCGAAAAGATTATCATAGTAAGGAGAACTGTCGAAAAAACGTTTGATAATTTTGGCATCAAAGTTACAATTAAATCCTTTTCAAAGGTGTAAAGCTTTTATTTATTTGTAATAATAAATAGACAACCCATGCATGATATAAGAATTTAAAGATACATTTATAAGTAAAACAATGATTCTACTCCATGTTCCAAATATTAACAAAATGCAATCAAAATTTACAATCCGCTGCATTACTTTGTCAGTTTTTAATCTCTGAAGTGAGTGGTTGTGATCCATTTTCCTTCTTTTGTCCTGAGCATGAATTTAATCATCTAAACATACTTTTTGCACCTAACATGCTACTTTTTGTGTGCTTTACTATAGAATTATAGAATACATTTTATGAACACTATATTTTTTTTAAAAGGGGGAATGTCTGATAATGTACAAAAACGAGATTTGATTAATGATGAATGAGACTGATGTGTGACACTGACAAATCATTTTGTAAGTCAGAAATTACATGGTCGTAGTGCCATAGGATGTGTTACACATTTCTTTAAATAATCTAAAATCTATTCAACCACAGTTTGCACTTGGGTTTGTACAGTGTGCAAGACTATCCAGTTACTTTTGGCTTTGTGAATCATGCTCTTGGAACAATAACATGTCAGCCTCTTGCCTTTTCAGTGGCTCACTTAATTTGGAAAGTTTGGTCAGCCCTTTTTTTTTTTTAAATAATCGTTTTTTGTCAAACAGACTACAGGAAGCTCTGAGTTATCATTACATCCAGTTCTCCATCCTCATATAAGACTAAAATAGAGAAGACCTTCAACTGATAAGTTCCCTTGTGCAGCGATGACAGCAAGATGAGACACAAGTCATCACAAAAAGAAAGAGGGCCCAGCACTGGACTAGGCTCAGCATTAAAGAAAAAATCAAATAAAAAAAGTTTCTTATAAGCAGAGTTTTGGGTCTTATGTGTATTATGTTCACGCTGCTCTTTTCTGTTCAATGAAAGTTAACAGTGAGATGACTTTTAAAAGCCAAAAGCCACTCCTGACTCATATATATCATTTGACTTTAGAACACTTGAACAGCCCTTAGTCACAATTTACTTACTATGTATGAAAAACAGTGTGAAGATCTACTTCTGTGACCTAAATAAGATAGAAAATCATGCAGACGTTATGATGGTGAGTAAATGTTGACAGGATGTGAAACTCTTTGAGCCTTGAGAAGCTGCAGCTCATTGCAAGCAAAAATTATAGAGCTTCTCAAGTTCATGTAATGTCATGCAACATATCCATAATGCATTAATTAATAGAGTTGCTGAAGAGATTGATTTTAAACTCCACAATCAATCAAATGTTTACCTCAGAAGCTGTAGGCTCCAAAAGTCATATGCTTTGTACACTTCAAAGAGGTTTTCACACATCTGTGGAGTCTTTGGAAGAATGTAGCAGTTGCTGTGGCTGTTGATAAGTGTCTATTTTGCTGCATAGACTAATGCAGATAACAAATGGGATTTTGGTGCTGCTGGTGTCGCATCTGTGGTCTCAGTGATAGAGTGGCTGATTGAGTGTTGGGAGCAAATTGTGGTCGTGTCGGGTTGCTCCTTTGTTTACATCAACTCTCCCCCTTTAATCGAACAGGTGAGAAGGTCCAAGTGCAGCTGTCACTGTTGGGAGGCATCCAGATGTGTGTGTATGTGTGATGTTGTAATGACAGCACAAAAGGGTATGACCACCGGAGATGTTTAACACAGACATATTTAGCTATCAAATACTTTTGATTAGGCCACAGACCACACTCCACTCCCATATAGGCAAATAGACACTTAGACACTTGATTGATCCCCTCAGGAAAATTAAGGATTAGCTACAGAAGGATTACGAGACAGCTGCTCTTTATTAACCTATGATACTATGCTTTGAAATGAATCCCACACAATTTCTTAACCCATGCAAAGATGCCTTCATTATCATAAAAGTGTCATGATCAGACTCCTCCACTCTTATGAGTTAGTGATGGGAAGTTCGGATCATTTTACCGACTCGGACCTTTGAGTCTCGTTCAGCAAAATGAACGAATCTTTTTTCGAGTCATTTCGTTCATTTAAGGAAAATATAATTAAAATGTTACGTGTTACTTCCCTAACATGTCTACTACTTAAGCAAATGTTGATCACACTACAAACAATACAAAATTATAATGCAATAAGAAACAGAAAAGATTAATTCATTCGTTCAAAATTAACGAATTGTTCAAGAACGACCCAACATTATTATGAGTCAGTTAGATAGACCTCATTTGCAGAAGGGAAGCAGTACTGTATACAGATGAAAGTATCTGGCGACTTGTTGTTTTTCTGTTTTCTCTATTTTAAGCATCTGAAACTAACTTTGATAATCTCTAAAGACAGGTGCTGTGAATGAGAAACTTGTTGCTGGGTTGTTGAACACCAGATGTCTTAGTTGACGTACTATATGAATACTTGTGACATTCATTTAATGGTTAAACTTCCAAGTATGTTCCCATTAGGCATGGGCCGGTATGAGATTTTGACGGTATGATAACCTTAAGCAAAAATATCACGGTTTCACGGTATCACGGTATTGTCGTTACAGCTCTAAAATGTGTTATTTTTAAATGACTGGGTAAAAAGAAAAACTTTATTTCCGCTGAACACAATATATTTTGTTTTTGAGCAACATACAGAATATTAGGAACAGTAGAATTTGTTTATTTTTTATTTGATTTTTTTTCCTAAAAAGAAGAAAAATAAAGACTGACATCTTTATTTAACCTAAATCTGTAATTACAGTTATTTAATTTTAGTTATATAATTAATTTACATATCATTTATATAATTTCATATCATTTAGTTATATAATTTCATATACATAATTTGACTTAATAATAACCCAATTTGAAGCAAAAACAGAATGTTCTGACTAGCTTTGTGAAATTATACTACATGCCTGAACGAAGCAAACAGCAGAAGCTCTGAATGAGACGCAGATTCACTCTCTGACAGCAGGAGGCGCTTCTAGAACACCAGATACAGCATTTTCTTGGTTACCGCTGTTAACAAAGCAGCACTGTGCTGAAACACTGCTTTAATATGAGCTATAGAGACGAGATTAAAAGAAAATACCACGTAAACTTTTCTGAAGACAGTCAGTTCCCCTCAGAAACACATTCATATAAACCCCCAAATCAATATTGAGGATTTTCTTCCAATAGTTCATGCATCATGAACAGTGAGTGATCTGCCTGCTACAGTATTTTTCTCTGTGTGTCCGTCTTCAACGTCTCTGGCCTGTGTTAACGGGCATTTACAGACTTCATATTTTCACATAAATGACAATTTGGAAAACGATTGCATTGCAACACAGTTTGTGCAAGTCCAGAACATAGACGAGTTGCTTGCAATAAGACAAAAAACGGCCGGTTGCCGATCGCGTAAGTTCCAGGGGAAGCTCCTTAAGTTCGACCATCCTACACACACGCGACTGACCGCTCGCTCGCACCAACAGGAGGAGGAGGGTCGTGTTGCTCTCTACACTGCACTCAACCTGAGGGAGTCCTACATTTTCAGTCTTTGAGGAGACATGAAAAACAGCGCATAGCGCAGGAACGGTATAACGGAAAATATTAGCGGTTTTGAAACCGTGACATTTTCAAATCACGGTATACCTTGAAACCGGTAATCGGGCCCATGCCTAGTTCCCATAGTAATTCAATATACAGTAGAAGTAAAGTAGCTTAGAAACTTTGCACAAGCCAAACGTCTGGATGTCTGGAGGCTACAGGAAATTATGGACTGCTGGCCAAAACCAACAAGCAGTCAAAAGCAATTAAAAAAAAAAGGCTTTAAGTTAATTTCGATCTATGTTTTCTGAAACAGCAGGCAGCACAGATCTGCTCAGATTCGCAAGCTGTACACAAAGACACCATACTGAATTGTAGCTTAAGTGTTCAGTCTGCAATTTCCTGTGTGCAAAGCTACTTCTGATGAGTCGCAAAAAGGAAGAGCTCCCAAATAACTTTTCTGGAATGCTGTGGTGAATTGCATGTCATATGTAGGATTACCAAAAATGGCAGTAAACCTTGAGACTTGTTTTTTCACTAGCAAAGCCAAGAGAAAGTCTAGCATTTCATGGAACACAAAAGGGCCATTCACACCAAGAATGACTAATGATAACTATAACCATAAAGTTTTAAAAAAAGAAAAGTTAAAGATAAGAGTTAAAGTTAGAAGTAAAAAAAATTGTGCAGTCCACACCACAATTATTACAACAATGACACAAAAAAAACAATACAGTTGAAATCACGTTTATTTCCAGTTGATGAATGATAAAAATATTGACCAAAATCAGAATCCAGTCAGCTTGAAAGAGCTTGAGCATTTAAAGCAACAGATATAAGTGCATCATGCACTTAGAATAATCCAGACTGTCCTCCAACAAAAAACGACCCTATAGGTCTGGTTAGGTTAGTGCAAGCACCTTATTACGACCTATATTTACGTTTTAAAGTTTAGTGCCCTCTAGCGGGCGTAAAAAAATAATAACAATGTTGTGTTGCGTCTGTTGTCATGAAATGACGTATGACTGTCATTACCAATCAAAATGCATGTTCATTTAAATGCAGTTTGTGGTCTCACGGCAATTTGTACATATTTTACTAGGTGGCTAATTCATACGAATTTGTGCGAATGACCACACTTAACCCCGCCCCTAAACCTACCCTCACAGAAATCATGTGATAGTGCATATACATTTTATGAGCACATGCGTTCTCTGGGATCGAACGCATGATCACATGATTGCTTATTGTCGTACAATGCAATGCTCTATCAACTGAGCTATACAAAAACCGAATTATGGCGCAGATAAAAGAGTACAAAGCATTAATGTGAAAGTGTCCTGTTGCCGATAGGGGTGCAATTGTAGTATACGCTCTGCCTCTGATGGGTCGTATTTCAGGGATTTGGACAAATTACCTATGCGGGCATATTTGTTGGAGGACATGTTGCAATAATCCTTTGGTGTGGATGCTAATATAGTTATCGTTATAGTTATCGTTCTTGGTGTGAACGGGCCTTAAGGATCTATTTGAGATCCTTATGTCAGCAGTCCTAATGGATCAGTTAAGTGACAGCTAATTGTTTGCGATGCGTCATCAGGCTGTTTCTGTCCAAATAAAGCAAACTAATAGCTTGATGGTGTCGTACTTAGTAATAAGTGCAAAGATAGCTAATAAATTTAGCCAGGATTTGAATCTATGTTTAGTAACTTTAATTAAATGTGTCTTATAACATTCATACAGATCTATCATAATGTGCATTTGCACATCCATGATTAGGGTCATGACAGATATGATGACAAGCAGTCAAGGTGCAGCTTATAATATGGATATTTGCAGCCATTACAGTGAACTCAAAAGCTCTCTCTTTATCTTTTGTGCAAGTCTATTTTGAGCCACAGTGCTGTCTCTCTTTGATCACTAGTGTTCCCTATGGTAAAAACCCAAGTGTGAGTCCAGCTAAACAGTTGGGGGCATTTGTGGAGGGTAAAGATGACAGACAATAGACAGAATCACCTTTCAACACCTCTTTAAATACATTGGGGATAACATTAAAAAGCTAGTAAATCACTCTCACCTCCATGGTAATGTGGCGTCACTTTACATCTGTCCTGCCAAACCTGTAGCATTTCCTCACAATAGTTCTTGTCAGTAGACTCAACACATACAGTGTATATTTAAATCTTTTTGGCTTAAAGAAAGTCTGATTAATTAAAGCTGAAGTGTGCATTTTCAGTGTTAAAATACTTTCTCCTATCCATTTTAATGTACAGAGAATACTACAAGTAAGCCGTTAACCCATTTTTAAGTTTAACTTTTTTAAGTCACTGTTTTTGCCATTACTTGGTACAGAAATTATACACTGCTCTAAAATACTCTACTCTAATTGGTAAATCGTGACAATCAGCACTCTAATACTTACTAATAGAGTGCAATAGTGGCCATCTTTTTCAGCAACTTTGGTTTCAAAAGTGTTTTTCCGCTATTACACTGAATTCCCCTATGGATGAAATAATGTGATTTTTACTTCCAGAACCTGACTGCTTCACTGTTGCTTCTCATCAGTAACTGAAACAGGCGCTAATTTCATGCCTTTTGCATCACACTGCGAGAGACATACAAATGATGCCATCATACGTCTCAGTTATCAATTGTAGTGAAAATGACTACAGTATTAATATTACTTTACTGATTAATATTGTTGCATTGTTGGCCGACTGTTATAATGATTTGTTTTTGCTTGTAGAAACTTTAAGATAATATATAGGTAAGAAGATAAAATAATTTAAACTCAAATCAATATTTAGCTGTGTAATGAGTGGTATAATGTACAGTTAGCCAGTCATTATCACAAAATAAACAGACTGTAAATTATTGTTAAGAATAATGGCAGACTGTCTGTTGGTTATCCCTCACATAAACATAAACAGCCTTGTAGACTGACATTTGCTCCTTATTCCATAGTTAATTCCTGCTGTGCCTTTAAACAAACCTTTAGTGCTCTTTTGTCCAGGTTGTAGCCTGACAAACTGTGATTTAAAGATATGGAAAATGTAATACTGCCCAGCCAAGCCTTCTTAATGTCCCAGAGAAAAAACATCTCTATGTAGATGGATGAGTGGAATTTTTAAATTCAAGCAAGCCCTTATAACACTAGAAACTCTATTTTCCTTGCTCTATTTTTTCCTTTGCTGAAAGTATAATTGATTTAAAAAAAAAAAAAACATTTTTCATTACTTCATGAATACTAACTTCTTTTTTGTAATTTGCTGGTCTGAATGGTTTGCGTTTTGTTACAGGCACATATCTGAGAGGCCACAAGGGACAATGTCTAAGACACAGAAATCAGAGTCCAGGTCTCACTCTCAATCGGCCTCCAGATCAAGATCCCATTCTGATTCCCGCTCACGCTCCAGATCACGAAGCAGCTCTAGACCTAGATCAAGGAAGCGCAGATACGGGTAAGTGTCCAGTATGCTAATAAATAGAAGTTACTGACTTTGCAATCATCATGCCATGCATACAAAATATTTTGTAAATTAAAAATGAGATGGTTACCATTACTGCAGCGTACAAAGCAGGCGTGTGCAGATGTTGGATGAAGGAGTTGGTTTCGATTGTTAATTTCAGTTTTGAGTTTGATTTTGTACTTTCAAGTTTCAGTCATCACTTCCAGTGATGAGTTGTGGATTTAAATATGAGGAAAAAGAGGAAAACTAATTAAATTATCACTTAAAAAGTAATCATCACAGTAATCCTTTCCATTTTCCTGACTATTGAGTCATTCATGCAGATTCATTTTGCCTCTTTGCTGTCTTACAATCAGGCCCACATGGAATTAGCTCACAATTTTGCAATAAATAAACCCAGAAAATGCAAGAAGAAAGATTCCATCTGGGTCTACTTATAATCTTGTGCTTGGTGAGCAACGATCTTTAGCTACTCATTCTGACCATACTATAAAGTACAAATCTACAATACAATAATGCTTACTGTGTCTTGACAGATGTGCTTAAGGATTGAGTGGGTTGGAAAACTGTTTACTTCTCATTTTGTTCGTAAAAACACAATGGAACTTCATTTCATGCTCGGCTTCCCATCTATGACTCATTTTAAATTAAGATCAATATTCCAGTGCCAGTCTCAGCCATCTAACCACAGCTGCAAGGCCAAAGTTATGCAAGTTACACCTCCGTACATAAATAAAAGCACCCTGTGCTTTTATAACGCCTTTACTCTGGCTTCCTCACTTGCTGAAAAGGGGCTGCTCAGTCACTGTGATTTTACTCTCCATGTGTTCGTCAGCATTGCATAAAGACTGATACTTGGGAAGGGCTGTGGCTTTGGAAAGGCTCACCGCACTTTCTTATTTCACGTGCTAAAATTGTACTTTGCTCATTCTCATAGGACTGCTGGTTTTGTGCTTACAGCACAGTGGAGCCCGTTAGGTAGCAAATGTAAATGGTCCCTGCCAAAAAACCTCTGCTCTGTATTAGACAAAAACAGATGCATACTTGTGGTAATCTGGTTATTTTGTTTCTTTTTTTTTTGAGGATGCATGATTTTTTTCCCCATAAGCATGGATCCTTTTTCCTGTGTGGTTGACCGTATACTTTGAGCGCAGTGGGAGAGATGTACAATGTTGATTTTTCATGCAAATGGAATCTGTAGAAGGCCAAATCTGATGTCCCTTATTTGCAAGGGAAATCTTGTGAGCCTGGCCTCTCATTGCTGACCACAGTTTCAGAGAGGTGCTGCTGCTGGAAAAAGCTTGATGCATGCATGTCATAAGAATGAAGCAGAGCTGCATGGCTTTGAATGAAGTCAAACTGTCCAAGTAAAACTCATGGGCATAAGTGGATGAAAATGCAGTTATTTCCGAATTATAAATACCCTGTTTTTGAGGAAAAGTTTGTTCAAAGTTTATCCATTTACTCACCTTTATGTCATTCCAAACCTGTATTTCGTTCTTGCTTCTGTGGAACATAAAAGAATTGTACCAGTTGCTTTTTTCAAGTGCAATTACAGTTAAAGGGGACAAAAGGTTTCAAGTTTAAAAAGATGTAAAGCTCTATAAAAGTTGTCGTTATGACTTTTGCACTATATTTCAAGTCTTATAAAGTCTGAAGTCATATGATAGCTTTGTGTGACAAACAGATCAAAAATTTCTGTCATTCATTGATCATCTTGTGAGATATGAGCTACAATATCAAGGTTTTCTGTCAATAATGACTTAAAGTTGCTCAGTTTGTACCCTTTTTGAAGATTAAATGCCTCAGTTTCCATTCATTGTAATAACAGGAATAAAGCAATTAAAATGTCTGCTTTTGTGCTTCAGAGAAGATAGAAAATTACATATTTTTGAAATGATATGAGACTGGCTAAATAATGACAATTTTCATTCTAACTTAAGTTAACTAGTGGATAAATCGCTTTTCAAATAAGGGAGCTGTTGTAATTGTTACCTTCAGTTAAAGTCTACTCTCTGTGCAAAGCTAATGTGTTGTAACTGGCAGGCTGAGAACCTCCTCTTTGCTTCATAGAAAGAGAGTACAAATCTTTCCCATATGACCCATGTGACTGACTCTTTCCATTCACGCTCACTAGAGGAGATGCAAAGTCCCTCTTGCTCACTGTGAGAGTATCATGTTGCTCTGTGCACTACCTTCTTACTCTGTATTCCAATGAAAAACCGTATCAGGTGAGTACAAAACCAGCCGAAATGGTAGATTACTGTTAATGTCATTAAGTTTGTATTTGTTTGTTGGATTGTAAACTGGTTGCAGGGTGCTTTTGTTGGATAATCATTTCCAACACGGTTTCACTTTCCAAATGATGAAAAATTCCTCTATACTAGAATGACAGGTTTTAATACAATGCTAGACATAATTGCATGTCTTTTATCATTTTATTGTCTAACACAGTTGACCTATGCATAGCGTTGAAATGTCTCAAGTGTTTGTTCATTTTGCAAGGAGATTATATTCTATAAATTATACATGTTGAATATTCTATAGATCAGATTGCAATGCACAGTATGAAGTACTTGTATGCGCAAGTTGTTTAGTTAATATCAGTGTTTGTGATGTTAAGACATACTGAAAGAGACTGCCTTACAGAGAAACAAGAACTACTGACTGTAGATGCGTTCATAAATAGAACAACAGGGCCACCATGTGGCTGAAGTTGACCTTGCACCTAAAGCTTTTAAATGTAATTGGTCATAGCAGCAGTGTATACTACTTGAAAGAATTCTGTGAAATAGTGTTACACTAATTATTGATCTTAAATCGTTGAATCAGTATAATCAGTAATGGAATACACAGAATAAATATTTCTTGTATATTTGTAAAATTTTATTGCTATATTGATGGTCCTTTTAGCTTTAGAAATGAATGTTATCAATTATTCTGATTTAAAGGAATAGTTAATATTTTATTATTATTTATTTAATAACATAATCATTTATTAGTATTATTATTATTATTATTATTATACATTCTTTTAAGAGAATCTTTTTCATACAACTGCTGGGCATTCAAGCTCCAAAAAGGACAAAAAGCACTATAAAAGCATAGAAAATTGTTTCTGTTTATTTTTGTGAGGAAATGGCACAATTTTAAAGTCATTATTTCTTGTTACGACCTAAGGCCTCACGTTGGACATCAATAAATCAAACTTCATGCATTATAAAGTGTCTCATAACCAAATGTCTTGACATTATAACCAAATTACATTTGAATAAAATTTGATTTGAGATCTGCAATGGAGGTAGAGATTACTAGTGAAAATCTTTGGTCTGTAGATCCTCACGCAGAGGTATCATAAGGATCTAGAAGAAGATGTTTTGAATATTGATGAATTTTCCTCAGAAAATACAATAGCATATGTAATATCTCTTTGTGTCATTTTCTATATCCCAATGAGTTTTTTTGCTCAATCCTTTCTTTCATTGTCTTTTAAGCTCTAGGTCTCGCTCTCGGTCAAGATCCCATTCTCCGCCCCACAACCGGGAGCGGAACCACACGCGGGAGTACCAGAACCAACGGGAGTTTCGAGGCAACTATAGAGGCTTCCGAAGGCCATATTACTTTCGGGGCAGAGGTCAGGGCTTTTTCCGTGGTCGCTTTCAGCGTGGTGGAAGGGGTGGATATTATAACTACCATCCCAAAAACTGGCAGAACTTCCGGCAGCACCATCAGCAGCAACAGCAGCAGTACTACTCCAACAGCCCCAAGAGGGGCCGCTCGCGTTCACGCTCTCCCAAGAAGCAGTCAAACAGCCCGCAGTCCCGCAGCCATTCCCGCCGCTCTGACAGGTCATCCTCGGGGAGATCGCCTCAGTCGCACCATTCTTCCTCCTCCAACTCTGGGTCTGCCAAACGCAGTTGCAAAGATGTAAGAGAGGACATCTCTGTGCCTGAAGAAACCCGAGGAGGAAATGGGGCTCTGGCAGAGCAGGTGGGAGGCTCTCCTGTGGCCAAAGGGAACTCTGATAGAGACAGGGCTGTGGAGAAATGTCAGGTTTTAACAAACCATGACACTAGTCCTAAAAGGGCAAGTCCGCAGGTTTTCTCCACTGTCACTAATGACCAACCCATTGACTCTGCAACCAACGAGACAAGTCCTGCTCATAATGCTCCTAATAAAGGTGCCACAACCTGGCAGAATGTTGGAACTGCACCTTCAAACACCTGCCCCATAAAGAAAAGCTTTACACCAGTTTTCAATGGTTTTGGGCTCTTTACAAATATTGACCAACAGACAGATGATACAATTGCTATCTCCACTGCATTTTTGAAGTAAGTCTGCTTTCTTATAATGAAAATATCTGTGTTGTTCATTTATTAATTTTTTAAAGTTTTTATCTAAAAGTTTGGGATAAAAGAAGTCTCACCAAGGCTACATTTATTTGATCAAAAATACATTAAAAACAGTAATATTATGAAATATTATTACAATTTAATATAACTGTTTTCTATTTTATTATTTTTCAAAATGTATTTTATTCCTGCGATGGCAGTTACATTTTCAGCAGCCTATCCCAGTCTTCAGTATCACGTGACCTTCAGAAATCATTCTAATACACTGATTTGGTGCTCAGGAAACATTTCTTATTATTGACACACAAACTGATCAAAAGTGACAATAAAGACATAATGTTACAAAAGATTTCTATATCCAAATACATGCTGTTCTTTTGAACTTTCTATTCATTAAAGAATCCAGAAAAGTAAATAAAAAATAAAAAATATTATTTATATATATATATATATATATATATATATATATATTAAGCCTTTTCAACACTGATAATGTTAAGAGCCAATAATAATTGAAAGAAATTAGCACCAAATCAGAATATTAGAATGATTTCTAAAGGATCATGTGACACTGAAGACTGGAGTAGCGGCTGCCAAAAATTCAGCTTTCCCATCACAGGCATAAATTATATTTTAAAATAGATTAAAATAGAATGTAGTTCTTTTAAATTGTAATGATATTTCAAAATATTATTGTTTTACTGTATTTTTGATCAAATAAATGCAGCCTTGGTGAGTGACATATTTTAAAAACTTAAAAAAAAAAAATCATAATTATCCCAAATTTTTAAACAATAATGTATATTATTTCACTTGTTTATCCTAGGGCTGGGTATTGTTACAGGCTTCCTGGTTCGATTCCATTTACTGTCTCTCTGCTAATGCTGTATATTATACAGGGCAGTGTTTCAGACTGATACAAATCAGTAACTCATCTTTTTGAACCATTCATAAAATGAAGCATCCCATGAGTCATTAATTGCTGGAATCAGGGCTATCACTGGACACGTTGTATATTTTTGATTCAGTAAATAGGACTGATTCATAAGAGTCAGTTGTTTGTGAAGAGTAAATTGTTCAAATGAAGATCATCATTTCTACCCAGCCCTAGATTAGTTTGTCCTGTACATACTGTGTTTTAGGCCTTTCAAGCAAAAATAAATTACAGACATTCATCATTTTGATGGATTATATGCATTTGAAATTGGCTTTCTATTTTCTTTTTCTTTTTTACCTTCATTTTAGTCAGTGTAAGAGTGGAAATAACACAATAAATCCTGTGTGTGTGCCAGGCAAAAAGTAAGATTGCACAGTTGGGTTGCAATCTGCCCTTCAAATGCATCAACAGAGCTGTTGGAAAAAAAGAACCAACACACATGAAGAGCTAGATATGCCTTGTTTACAAATGTCAGCTCACAGTCTGTAATTTAGATGTTCTAAAAAGGTCTAAAAGGTTTTTATTTGCACTTTGCAAATGGATGAAGTGAAATTTTCCCAGCTGCACACACTTGTTTCAGAGTGGAAGACATTCATTTGTGCACGGTAAAATTAACAAAATCCATTACAGTTTACGCATAGTTCTGTCAATCTGACATGCTGCAGAAGTCCTTGGTCACGTTAAAATGACAACAGATGTATCTGAGCACATTATTGTAAATAATAGTAAACTGAAAATCTCTTCCTCTCATTGACCAGATTCCTGGAAGAGCAAAAGCTTAAAAAACAGGCTTCTGCATGGGACGACACCACACATAAAGGGAAAAGTAATGGAGATATAGTATGTGATAAAGAAAATGGAGAAATGTTTGAAAAGGGCATTGAGTTGTCTCGCACTGTAGATCACGACAACGCAGGAGAGGAGAAATCCAAATCTGTCAAGAGTGGTGATGGTAACAAGTTATCCATAAGCTCCAATAAAAGGGGTTCACGAAACAGACTGACATTTCAGTGCGAGGATGAAGAAATGGAGATCTCTAATAGGGTGAGGGATATGGAAAATGATCCCTGCAAAAGCAAAAGCAAAGTCACACTTTCTGCTCGTGAAATGTTTGAGAAGCGTATCAGGAGAATGCAGGACATGGCATGGGACAATGAGCTGGAAGCTCTCCTGCTCTGCCATAAACAGGAAAGAGCAGCGAATATTCTAGCTGCTCTCTCTAAGAGAGACCAGCTCAGTGGCATGTTTAAGGATCCCTCACCTGAAAAGCTCTCTAATGTTAACCGAAAGGAGAAAACCACGCTAAGTTCCTCTTCTAAACCCACACTGCTGCCCAGGAGGAGCTCTGAGAACCGTGAGCAAGAGATGTTTGTGGTTATGAATGAGGAATCCCCACCAAGCGCTTCAATGAAAAGAAGTGAATTCAGTGTGAGGATGGATTCTCTAAGTGATGATCTTGCAAGGTGATCTTTGTTTCCCTCCAAGATCTCAGCAATGACCTTTTGCTTCTGCTTCCATCTTCACAAAACATTGCATTGTTGTGTGTATGACTGCTTCTGACTATCAGATTTGGATTTTGTCTTTCCTAACCATTGTTGTATTTGACAGGACACCTGTTTTGACCAATGAAAGAAGGAATCTTCTGGATTTTCTGCATCTTGATAAGAAGGATTGGGAGTTTCAATCTGTCCTTCAGCATCTTCAGGCTCAGCAGTCACCCAAAAGTCCATCTGAGCTGTTTGCCCAACACATAGTTTCAATTGTCCATCACATTAAAGGTGACTAAAACTGATGACTGATGTCTTTTGCAGTCAAGGTTCTGAGGGGGTACAATGGCCTTAGTATTTGTATTGTTCCATTTTTTTTTCAAAAAATTTAATTCATTAAATATTTTTAAGTTTTTTGTTTTATGTTTGTGTTGTATATTATCCAGGTTTTATTACTTTTTTTCCCACTTTATGAAATATTTAATGTATTATATTATATTAAAAGGTATAAATATTTATAATTTTTTGTCCACCCCTCAGCTCAATATTTTCCTTCCTCTGGATTGACCCTAAATGACCGATTTGCCATGTACCAGAGAAGAGCTGCTGAGAAAGAAGTCATGAAGCAGAGAAAGAGTCCAGAGATACACAGGTACAAAAATTCAGGGACAACTTCCCAGGCTGGTTTCTCACGCACATATTAGTAATTTATACTAAAAAGTTTTTTTTACAAAATACGTTTTGACAATTTAGAAGGCTCTAAAAAAGGAGGATCGACATTTATCAAAATATTCCTCTCTCCACCTCTTTTTTTCACAGGAGAATTGATGTTTCTCCCAGTGCTTTTAAGAGGCACTCTCTTCTGTTTGATGAGATGAAAAGCTCCATGGAAAACAGCTTCAAGGTGACCGAACATTTTGAAATATGACGTATTTTGGAAAAGAATGCTGCACGAGTGATCCGGCCAGAGCATTCTTAGGCTTCCTTCTCTCGCTAAACTCTTGTTTCTGATGAGAGAAGCATAAAAGTCCAAATGTGAGATGCAAAAAGAGGTGCATTCAGGTTGTTGTGTTGTAAATGCCCCCACAACCTTTTACTATGGGTACAAGCCTTCCTAAGAGGCAAGAAATCAGAGGTCAGAAATGGAAGTGACCAGTTGTTCCCATGTCATATCCATTCAAAGGACTCTAAACAAAAGTCATAGTAAGTATTCCTCTTCAAAGCCTGCAAAGAACAAGTGGGGTGTTTAGGCCAAGTAAAAACAACAAACTTTCATGAGCACCAATGAAAGTATTTCTGCTGTGGTCATAATGTTGCCTTTTGTACTATTTTGTTTTGTTTATTATCTTTTTTTATTTTGGTGAGCAAGTAAGAGGAAATCAAAATGTTACCTTTGCGGCCTGTTGCCATTTCTGTGAAATACTGCTTAATTTGCCTGTTGAAAGACTGTAAGAAGCCAAAATGCCACTTAAAATGATATTAGAAAAGGTCTCTTCCTCGCATTCATTTGCATGTTTGTTTTAATTCAGCTGTTGCCATGTTTTTCATTTTGGACCCGTCCCATGCAATGCTACACAAAGCTACTAGATCGCCGCTAACCCTCATCTGGCCAAAATATCTCTTTCTCCTCACCGCAGGTTGATGGTAAAAAATCTAAAGGCGATTCAATGGACCTTCGGCTGGATATTGAGCGCAGAAAGAAATACTTGAGTGGAGAGAGAGAGCACAGAGATGAAGAGTACGGAGGAAGAGTATCGAGGAAATCTCCAGATTCAAGCAAGGAAATATCCACTGAGAAAATCTCAAAGAACCACAAAAAACCTAAGTAAGCTGCTGCATAGACATGTCAGAGTGATCTTCAATACAGAGGTTCTGCTCTGAGTTGTTCAGTTGTAGAAAACAGAATTAAGAAAGACCTACACTGTTGGTGACAAAACTAATAAGCTGACAGTTGTATTTTTGTTTGGGTTTGTTGTGACCTCTCAAGTGAAAAAATCCTGCCTTGTGATAACTTCTCTAAAAGTAGTTGAAACTGCAATTTTGATCAACCAATAAACAATCTGAAATTTCAAAGAATCTGGTTGAGGCAAGTAAAGATTAAATAAGATTAAACCATCAAGAAGTCCATCTTGAGCCTCTCAGGAGGCCTTAAAAACATTTACAAAAAAGGCCTAAAGCTGCATTCACACTCGCAGCAGTCTGCAAAAACAAGAAGTCAGAAACTTTTAATGAGAGTTGGTGATGTGAAGCGTCATGAGTGACAGAAATAGTTGTCAGTGCGAATGTTGAGAATCGTTGAACTTTATGCAACAGAGCTGCAATGCAATGCAGCTACTTCCAATGGGAGTGGAGCTCATGCGATTTTAACCTTCTGATACCATCAAGTATGAATGCCTGCTTGTGCCCAATAGGACAGCAACTTGGTCATCTTCAGATATTAAATCGCTGTCAGTGTGAACGCACCTTTTTGTCTTTCTGGTCAGCTGGATATTTTGAATATGTTGGATAAAGGTTGTCAATGTTTGAAAATATCCTGATTTTTTTTAGATTCAGGTAAAGATTAATTAATAGTTGGTGGAGAAGCAAATGACGATGAAGTCATCTTGCACATGTTTAAAAAAACATGCTGAAGAACCTTTCATCCAGTCGATTTTTCTTTTTTTAAGACTTGCGTACATCGATTAACAATGTCTGAATCAAATGTTATTTCATTCCTAAGGAAAAGCAAGAAGAAACGGGAGCAATCTGAGACATCTTCTTCATCTTCCTCGTTTTCCACTGTTTACCATGAAGAAGAGGCTGAGATCAAGGCAAAAGGCTTCTCCAAAGTCCAACAGGGGCTTAGAGAGTATGGAGAACCTGCAGAAAGAAGATGGGCACGAGGAGGCTTTGTAAGTTTTGGGTGATATTGAAGAACTAAGATGATTGTTTATTGCTGTGGTACTTATGATGGCCATTTGCTGTTTCTCAGCAGCTTAGATTACGTGGTAGAAGCTGGAACCGAGGAAATTTCCATGGAAGCAGTAATGGTGATTCACAGATGAACATGCCAGCAAAGAATGATGACTGGGATCAAGAATACACTCCCAAGAGCAAGAAATACTTCCTAGTATGTTGTGAACTTTGTATCACCCATTCTGCTTCACCTCTCTAGAGTTCCTGGAAAAAATCAGCAAGCTATCAACATAATAATAGTAAAATAACAATACAATAAAAACATTTTTTTTTTTACACATAAATATACACAATTACAAATTAATATAATGTCCATATAAAGAACTTAGGTTATACCAAAGACTATGGATATACAAAGACGGTTCACTCCTATTACATATGAATGGGAGAAACTGTAATGCACAATATGGTGGAATATGTCTTGCCTTCTAAATGAAAGGGCCAATCGCTGATTGGTAAAGTCACTGCAGCTGCTGTTAGAAGCTGAGACTCATGCTCATAACTGGCTGATCTAGCTTTTTTAAATGGTATTTGAGCATAAGGAACAGCATTCATGGGGCAGTTCATTTCAGATTTTGTTGCTGATTTGAAATATGTAATTTAATTGTGAGTTCAGCAGGAAGTTTTTGAGATTTCCGGATTCACCCATTCATTTAGATAGGACTTGGTCTTGGATGCCTAAAATAGCTGCCAGGAGGCGTTGCAATTATGGCTGCCAAGTGAACAGACATTCTTTGAAAGGGACTTTGGTTATACTCCTTGTATCATAATATCTTACATTCAGGGTCTGTATGTGTAATATTATGACAGTGTACAGTCAAATATAACACGTGATTATTCTTAAACTCATAAATCTTTTAATTATATTAATCAATTAGGTTAATATTTTCTGTATTTTGTTGTTGCAGCAGAGTGAAAGAGATGGTGAAGCTGAGAAGAAGATGATTGAAACACGAGGGCGTGGTCGCGGCAATGCTATTCGCCCAAAGGGACGTTTTATCCTCCGGAGGGCCACAAATACCAACACCACCAAAAATACGAGCCCTAAATGGGCCCATGATAAATTCCAGGCCACTGATGATGATGAGGGCGAACAGCAAGGAGAAGATGTAGAACAGGACCAGTGAGAACGGAGCAGTAAAGATGTTCAAATCCCTTATCATACTTTAAACCCTGGGATAAGACTTGCTGGCCTTCACACTCTCAAGAATGGATATAATATCAGCATCCTTATGCACCTGAAACTTTTTGATAGGAAAGGGGCTTTTTTATTGTAGTTTTCATTTTCTATTTTCATGAGGATGCTTTTGTCAGCTTGGTGGTGATTTTTTTTGTTTTGTTTTTTGTACATGCAAATTCACACACTTTCATAGAAAAACACATTATGTAGTTTAAACAATTATTTTAGGGGAGCACATTCATCTAATCATGACAAACACTGTTAAAGCCATCAGCTCCAACTTCACATTTATTTTCTATCCATAAATCTCTGGAGGAATCTGCACTCCATCTCAAAATGTTCTGCCATATATTTCATTTTCGACTACCTCCATTGCGAATCCTGTCGATTTTTTTGCACAAAACTTTTGAAACATACAAATTAAATATACGGCAGAAAATAAAGTTAATATCTAAGTTTTGTAGTGATAGACTGTTAAATAAAAGGCAGGCCAATTGATCAGCTGACATTTGACCATTTTTAGATTATTATTACAATGATTATTGGAAGTGTGTATCTCCCCACTTTTTCAGTTTCAAATTTTACTGATTACTGATTATTTGTGTGTGAATTTTGAATGTGTAAAATACAGTACAATTCAATATAATACGATACATATATCGTTTATTGGTCACTCTGCTTTCTAGATGTTGATATCAAGCATCAAAAATCCATTTCAGTCGACCACTAGTTCAAAGGTTAGGTGTTTTTGATGTACCATAGTGCCTGAAGTGTAGAATACCAGTATAGAACTATATCTGGTTATGTACTCATTGTTGCTGTTGAAAAAGATAAAAAATAAAAAAATAGATGTACATATTAATGTTTTGTGGATTTGATTGAAACTCTGTCTACCTATAGAAACAAAGATCATGACTTAATGACTTGTATGAATGATCCAGTCTCGATATGGGACCAAACTACAGCAGGTAGACAAACATGTCGCGGTGAATGACATGTGGGGAAAAAGATTTACATTCATCCAACTGCTAGTCAAAAGATGTCAATTTTGAAACTGGACAAACAGCTTATAGAGAAAGTTCAAAATACATGCACTTACAAATGTTTTGAAGACTGCTAGCAAATTTTTTGTTTATTGAGGTGCAAGTTTTTGACAATAAATGTGTGCAATGTGCATACTGTTTTATTATGGTTTTTCTAAAGTGTGTCTTGCCTTTAAATTGTATGCCTATTTATATTGGCTAAGCACCTTCTTTAGATATAGTAATCATTTTGTCACTTAGATATTAATAAAAAGGTTATTTTTAGTTTTGGGGAATTTGATTTTGAAGAGTTAAAGTAAAAAAAAACTTGGGAAACGTGAATAATTTACATTCATACTCAATATTGGATTTTAGCTGTCTGGGTTCTGATTTGCACTGTGTCTGATATATACATTTTGACTTGCATTTATATACTCACAATCAGAAAGAATTAAAAAAAAATGCAGCAATGTTGCATCGGACTGATTTTTGTGTCAAGTAGAAACAAGAAGTGGTGTTTTTGGGGTTTTTTTTGAGACCAAGAACACTGACACCCTATTTATTTGTAAATGATCATATTGTGAACTAAGCCTATTTTAATGGTCTCTTAAAAACGCTTTATTATTTCTGTGTAAACTGACCCGACATGCTTTAAATAAAACCATTAGTCTCAGAACAATCATATCTCTGCTATCTGTTCAATAAAAGTTAAGTGTGGCATTGACTGAAAGAACTAATGTCAACACACTCATGTTTAACAAAGATTACGCTCCTGTAAAATCAAGTTTATATTTAAACATCAGGTTTTTCCTTGAATTCCTTTCAAGCGAGTACACATATTGTCAGTCATTTTTGGTGGGATACATGACACCAGAAGGCTCATACCAACACAAACCTGTCTCACCTGTTACACACTCTATCTCTCATTCTCAGTGTATAACGTGTCTTAACTAGCTGAGAATTTTTTTCCCCCCTACAATGCTAATGTTTGACTAGAAAGAAGGAGGTCCGAGAAAGCTTTCACTGTCTCTGGATTGTGCAATACCACCAAATCAAGCAGTGTAATTCACAGGGATTCCATGACACTTTGAGAACTGAACAGAATCTTCATTGTCTGACTTGGTGCTCCAAACACGGCTTTCAAGGGGTCATGGGTGAGTTTTTAAACGTTGTTTCAAAAGGTTCTTATGATTTGGCAAGCTGTGGTGTTTGTGGTACTTAGGTTATATATATATATATATATATAATATACACACACACACATTTATTGATTTTTATTGACATAACATCTATGGCTATTTTCATGGCAATATCAATGTATTTTAAAGAAACAAATAGTGGTTATGTATATATATATATATATATATATATACGGTATCTAGTATTGTAGTATACTAAGTGCAATATAATTTGATAAGTAAGCAATAAATGACAAATAAGGGACAGATGGGTTAGACTGAGCTGCATTCGTATCATATTTTTGATTATTACTAACATTTATGTATTTATTTATTCACTGATTTACTTAGTGTGACACATTTGGTAAAGAAACTTGAGATGACAGTTTATGACCCCAACATTATTATGACGCTGCTGTTTGAGCTTACCTGATCACAAACTACGCTTGGCATTCAGACTGATAAAACACATAAGGGTTTCTTACTGGAAATCAGATGAAATGCCACTGTGAATCATGCAAAGTGCTCTTTGTATTGCTATGCAGTCTTGAGTTCAAGTCCCTCAGGTTCAACTCACATACCTGTAAGCATGTTGAAACACATTGCTCATGGCTGTCCAGCGCCAGTAGGCTACTGCACTTTGAGAGTCACATAAATCCTACCGCCTATCTCTTTGGCATGTTTTTTCATGCCTTTCACATTATTAGACTTATTTGTCTGTCGGGTAAGTATTTCATAAAAGATAAGGCTTTCTGATGATTGAGAAAGTACCACAGAGTAACCCACATGAAATCTGCAGGCTTTTTTGCATTGATTTTAGGGAGATATCTGTGGAATGGATGTAAATATGTTAAAATCTCTTTTAGATACTTATCAGTAGCTGAAAACATAATTTACAGGCCAAAATATTACATATTTGATAAAACACTCTAGTTTACTAACCACCAGTGGCTTCACCCCTTACTTCTGTCCTTTTTAGAGGTGCTTGTGCTTCTGGACTTTGAGGCCACCATGCCAGATGAGTTGACGATATGTGCAGGGGATGTTGTGAAGAACGTCTCAAAGGGCAAAGAGGAAGGATGGCTGGAGGGAGAGCTGAGAGGAAAGAGAGGCATGTTCCCTTGCAACTTCGTCAAGGTCTGGACCTGTAGAGCATTCTTTCCATAGCTTTCCTAGTAGCCATAATGGTCATTTTCAAAATGGCTATTTTCTCCTCACAGGAAGTGCCTGTTTATTTAATAGGGGAAAGCAACAGAGAGCCAAGAAGCATAAGGAAATGTAAGTTCCCTTTCAGTCAGTCACGTTCTACATTACGTCAGTTGTGACTGACGAATTGGGATCTCGCCCGAGAGCCCAATCACCTTCGAGTGTAAACTAAACAAGCCAATGACAGTTGGCGTGCGTGTTTCGCCACGCGCACCCCTCCCCGCAGCGCGGGCATAAAAGGAGAGCGCGTGCAAATGCACATCAGCTTTTCGCTTCGGAACCGAGCCTTCACAGGACGAATCTCCGCGAGTGTTTGGAAGAAACAGCTGGCGTTGGTGTTACGGCGCGTCAGCGGGGGTTGCCATTCAGTGCTGCTCATCTTCGGCATGCTGCAGCTGCCATTCTGCGTGACCTCCCCTGGGCGCTTCAGCGCTCTCTCTAAAAGAGTGTTTCCTTTTTTTCCTAAAAGAGCAAATATCTAAAAGAGCTCCACGGGCGTCTTTTTAAAGATGGCTTCCCGCTCGTGCGTTTCTGGATGCGGTCGTTTCCTGCCTTCATCTGACGGTCATGATCACTGCCTCTCGTGCTTGGGCTTACAGCACGCTGAAGCAGCGCTCATGGATGAGTCATGTTCTTAGTGCGGGAACATGACCATCGCGACGTTGCCTAGATACCTCCTCATTAAAGGGGGGGGTATCCCCCTTGCCATGCCCCGCTCTAGCTCCTCTGGTTCTCGGAGGGCTACTTCGGTTCATGGTCAGGGAGACCTGAGGGT